CAGAGGAAAGGAGAGATATTTATATACTGGGTTCGCCTTTGTGTCATCATCGGGAGGATTGCAAAAACACTCTCACGTTCGACGCTGCCCACGGCAGAAATATCACCAGACCACCACAGACAGGAGTTGGTAGACTGGGTCAACTCTCTTCCTCCTCACCTGCAACTTCCCATCGGCTCGGCTCGCACCCAGAACTTTGACAAAGACGTGCATCAGTTACATCTTCCATATCTCACCACAATCATTGTCCTTCATCTTAAACGCTCAGCCAACACTCTGCCAGAAGCGCTTCCCCCAGCCATATTAGCAGCATCCTGTATTGCCAGAATATTGCGCGATGTCTTATCTCGAGGCAACACTCGCTTTTTAATGGCAATTACCTGCTGGTACACTGGAACGGCATTCATACCACTACTTCAGGCCTGTCAAATCCCTCACTTAGCCAAAGATGCCAATGACTGTCTTGACATCCTCGTGAGGGCAGCAGACCAGCTTCAGATCATGTGGGGTTCCGCGAACGTCATCAGGCAGGGCTTCTCACGTCTGAGGGGTACCAACTCAGGTGCGATACGAGTTACAAGTCCGGAGGCAGAGAACATTGAGCCCATCCATGATCAAACTGGCGTTGTTATGCCCGATCCACCAAATGTCGAGACAGTGCCATTGGACAGAGGAGGCTTCGATGACTTTGACTGGACTGCCCTGTTCCCATTCGCTACACAACATACTGGAGGAATCGCTGACAGTCTGCTGACTGGTCGGGCCCATGGCACAGCAACAAGGGGCTTCCCGTCTCCGGATAATGCGCTGTTCCATGAGACACTCGTTAATCAGTTTGAGGATTTGTTCGAACCTTTCGTAGATTACCGGCTGGACTTCATGGTTCCTGGGTGAAGGCCACGAAGGCAGGTCCATACAGGCTTTGCACAGTGACTGGAGTAAGCTAAGGTACTAGTAAGGTAGTCTAACAATAGAAGTAAATCAATACTGCCAGCGCATCATACTAGACAACTAAACACTCTGTTACCTAAAATGCTAGTACTAATTTAATGATTCGACCTCGAGCATGGACTCAAACCTTGCCCAAAACCTCGGCTTTCTCTACATACCAAGACAAGTCGCTCTTTGAATCCATTTCCCATTCCGTAAACCCGTTGCCCATGAACCTAAAAGGATTTGATGTACGATAGCAAATGTTGAAATCTTCACCGCGGATGTTGCTGAGCATCCGGTTGAAAAGGTGAGCACTGCCACCGAACAGAGCTGTAACCCTGCCATCGACACGGTTCCTCTTGTACCAACTCTTGCAGCCACCGCTCCATACAAGTGTCTTGTGTACTTGGTCGCTGTACTTGATAAACGCATCAACAACCTCTTGCTTGGGCTCAACGTATTTGATGTCCTCTGTAGCCATTTTCTTCACCCACTTCACAAAGTAGTCTCCTGTCCAGTTCAGAGACTCCACTAAGGACCCATGGCCACCTAGGCAGTTGGGTCCCATCATCATGAAGTAGTTGGGATAGTCTGGTACAGCAACTGAGACATAGGAATCAGGGTCCTCAGCCCATCTCGTGGCAAGGTCGATGTTCTCCTTTCCAACAATTGGGTATCTTGGACGATGGGAGACGTCAAAACCAGTTGCACAGACAACTAGAGACCTGTCAGGTACGCCGCAAAACAGACACTTCATGCCATAGTAGATAGTCTTTTTACTTACTGACGTCACACTCATAGAACTTGCCATCGGCTGTGTGAACACCATTCTTCGAAACGCTGGTGATGGCACTGTTGGTGATGTTGCAGTTTGGTCGCAAGAATGACTCGAGGTAGCCGGGCCCAGGCGTGATGCGCCGGCACCCCAACTCCCATTTTGGAATGAGCTTCTCGCACAGCTCGGGGTCATGGCCTAGCTTTTCTGCCATTTGCGCTGCTGCCAATCTCATGCCCTCTTTGTTGTTCTCGCCCTTCATGAAGATGTAGAAGGACTTGTTGGTGCGTGAAATAATTCCCTTCCTGTGCTCGAGGTGGTACTCTGGATCATGGAACTTCTTCCTCTCCTCGTCAGTGTATCGTGGGTTGGGATCCGGGTCATCCCTCCCAAGGTGCTTGGATGGAGGAGCGCGATAGTATACCCAAGCAGGTCCTCGGATGAAGTTCAGCACATCCGTACCAGGTAGCTTGGCCATTTGAGGAACGATCTGAATGCCAGAAGAGCCGTTTCCAATGACAGCAATTCGTTTGTTGGAGTAGTCAAAATCATGATCCCAGCGAGCGGAGTGAGTAATGTGGCCCTCAAAATCTCGTAGACCCGGGACGTCTGGCCAGGATTCGTGAACAAGTACACCTTGGGCAGAGATCAGGACGTGACAGAATTCATCACGCTGTTCACCCTGGTGTTCTACCGTAACTTTCCACTGGCCAAGCTCTTCCTGCCATGTAGCGCCAACAACCTTGGTGTTCAACTGAAGATCACGATCAAGATTCCACTTCTTGACTGTGTCTTTAATGTATTGGAGGATTTCAGCTCCACTGGCGTAAAAACGACTCCAGTCTGGGTTGGGGTCAAATGGAAATGCCTAAAGACATGATTAGCCCACGGAGGCTTCGTTGAATGCTTGACGCAGGGTACTCACATAAATGTGCGCTGGAACATCGCACTGCACGCCGGGATAGTTGTTGACAAGCCAGGTACCACCGACCTCGCTATGCGCCTCAAAAATTGTGTGTTCAACGATATCTCGCATCTCTGGAAACCTGTGCTGAAACTTATGGGCCATGAGGAGTCCGGAGAAGCCAGCACCAATGGTGAATACTTTGATCTTCCGTGGGGTGTAGGCGAATTTGGTGTCGAGCTTGAAAGGATCGTCGCTGACGCCATTGTGATTGCTTACTGAAGGTTGTTGCGGAAATTTCGCATTGCCCTGGACAACCTCTGGTAGTTCTGGTGCCGGCATTCGTGGCACATCATTGGGAACGCGAGATGTTGCAACTGGGCCAGGGTCGACCGGTGCGGTGGCCGGTGCTTCGACGGAAGCAGTCATGTTAATAAGAGGGCAATGTTAAAAGATGCTGTAAGGCCTCAAGGAAATGCGAAAGCTAAGGTTGACCCAGGCGGTTCAATAGAACAGGAGCACACGATGTCAAGTGGTTGAGCGGAAAGGTGAAGTCTCTGATGAGCAATCCTCTTCCTCGTCTTTATGGTTGAGAGATGTTGTTTGAAGACAAACGCTCCGCGCCAGTGATCTCCGAGATAGCCCAGTCCGCATTATCTTTATTGGACCCGGCACATACTATGGCAATTCCAACGGAGAATGGCCTCATCGGATTAACATGATTCTCAGCTAAACGAGTGTGCCAGTCGCGCTATAGACTCATTAGGCCTAACCGTCCTCTTAGGGTTGCCGTGTCTAAGGTTGCCGAAGCCTACACGCCAAATCAACCATCTTCAGAATTGCCATCGGCTATCCCAAAACGGTTTCCCAGCGGGGGATCCAGGGGGTTTGGGGCAATGGCCGGGAGCTTGGGGGCGTTCACGGGTCTAATGCTTACTCCAATTTTCCCCTCCCTCCTGTCTCGGCCCCGGTTGTGTAGAGCCGGGAACACCAGGTAACATCGTACATTTGAAAGAGACAAAGACATCGATTAAGAGCTTGGGCTTCTGCACATCATCAGAATACTCGAACGTTTGAAGTATATTCGATTCCATACTGAACGCTCAAACTCTTCTCGTCTCTCCCTCACTAGTTTCTTCCCTGACGAGTCGATCTAAGCTCTTAGCTCAAGACAAATCGCAGCTATGCCCCTCCCACAGTACACCTACAACGGTCCAATCGACCACACTATCATCCCTGATCGCCACAACGTCAAGGGAAAATCAGTCATTATCACGGGCGGTGCCAATGGCATGGGCGAGACATGTGTGCGAGCCTTCGTCGCAGCCGGTGCTTTTGTTACGTTCGGCGATGTCAATGCCAGGGGCAAAAACATCGAGAAAGAGCTGAATGCAAACGGCGCGTGTTGTACGTTTGTGGAGTGCGATATCAGGGACTGGAATCAGCAGAAGGCAATGTTCGAGACCGCCAAAAGCCAAAGTCCTTCCAAAAGCGTAGACATCGTCATTGCGAACGCTGGTATTAGTCGAAGTTCGGGGGACAGCCTATGGAATCTGGATGATCCAAATGGAGAGCCGGTCAAGCCTAATCTCAATATCGTGGATGTCAACCTCAAGGGCTCCTTCTACACATGGAAACTCGCAGTGCACTACTTCAGACAACAGCCAGAAACCGACGACAGGGACAGATGCTTCATTATCACAGGAAGCATGGTTGGATGGATCGACTCCCCCGGGAATTGGGAGTACACCTCTACCAAGTACGGTCTCCATGGGTTCATGAGAACTGCCAGACGCTCTAGTTGGGAGCAAGGCATCCGGATCGTCTACGTAGCTCCGTGCTGGATCAAGAGTGCGATTCGTACTGCCGAGTATGAAAAATGGTTGATTGACCACGGAGTCGAATTTGGGGAGCAAGAGGATGTTGCCAACTGCATGATGAGAGTTGCTTGCGACAAGTCTATCAACGGTCAGTCCCAGAAACCAAACTATCTGCAAGCTTACCCTCTAACAGAATCTATGTTACAGGACGCTCGTTGATGATTACACCAAGAACTGTTGCGAAGGAGGGCTACATGGATATTGACCGAGACGACTACAAGGATGTTCCAGAAGACCGATACCTAGACAAGGTGCAGAAGGCTCAACTAGTCATAATCGAGGACAAATGGAGAGACGATTACAAGGTTAGAGTGTACAAAGATTAATGTAGAACCAGCGGACCGTCTTCGAAGCACTATTTCCCATCTTCTTCGCAAGCAAGTTGTGCAACTATTAGCCACGCAACTAGGCTCAAGGGCGCCAATCGAAAGACATCTAGACTGAGAGGCCTTCCTGACTACTTTGTGCGGCTCGAGTTCATGCTTTCTGACCGATGTGTATATAAGAATCATCTTCTTGACAGTGATTCTGATTCTAACTCAGCTGGTGGAGGTTCGGATGCCAGCTCAACCGGGTTTGGCTTGACTGGGAGCTCGTGGCGGTACTGGAGTTGAGCCGATGAAGCCGGCCAATTCTTGGCGTTTTGCTTCTCGGGGCTTGCTTCAAACTTCGCTGTTTCTGTGTTCCTCTTCTTTTTCTTGTACCAAAAGAAGGCAGCCACGATGCCAACTATCGCCAGACCAACACCTCCACCCACAGCGCCACCAATGATCCCATTTCGATTGTCCCAAGTTGAGTTGGTGTTGCTTGTGGCGGATTCAGCAGGATTCGATGGGGTAAGTAGAGATGTTGAGCTTGCATCAGCAGAATGAGACGCAGAGGTGATCGCAGAAGTGATCGCAGAAGAGATCGCGGATGTGATTCCAACTGTCGCTAGAGAGGTTGTGAGGGCAATCGTGCTGGACGAAGAAGCGGCAGAGGAGGTGATTATTTTGCCATCGACGATGTACACTCCTCTCCCAGCCATGCAGCAGATTGAGGCATTCTGGCCCTCGCCGCAGCAATAGCTGCCATCGCTACATTTGGTAATAACAACATCCATTCCGCTTCCTGGTATACCGTCGTCTGATTCTTGGTGGTTGTCAGCACTCACGTCGCTCTCGCTAGTCAGTTGCTTTCTGAGACAGCCAGTGTCTGACAATTGAAATTCCGTGTTACTATGCTTGATTTCTGAAGAAAGGAAGCTTACCGTAATCATCTGTGACACACAGTTTCAAACATTTGGGTGATTCCCAAGTAGGGTCTGTACAGCTTTCCCGCCAGAGCTGCTTGTGCTCCTCATTCCAACACAGGCCATCCGCCTGACACTTGTCTCCTGCGATATTGCAACACATACCGTGTCCAGAACTTTCGCAAGACGCATACTTTTGGATGTTGGCGTTGGTCAAATCATGTCTGTTGGTACCGTTGGGCACGAAACATGCCCCTTGGCAGGCAACCGTCCGGATTAGAGTCGTGAGAATAGCTGCGAGAACATGAAGCATGGTGACTGACAATGGGGCGTATGGCAACTTCTTCTGTGTAGAGTATGAAGAAAGAGTGATCAAAACGGATGAGAATGAAAATTCCAGGCTGAAATTAGAGACCCATATCGCCGTATGTAGCTGTGCGGCGTGGAGTGGCTGTGAGATGTACATCGGACTCCATAAGTAAGATGCAATTACCTTCAGCTTAATGTCGTCGCAACAAGGTGGTTGTCGATACGCCGAATCAAGAAGAGTCTTCGAAATTTCTTCCCCACTGTATAGAAATCCTTAATTCTCGGCGCCTATTTCCTATTTGCTGGTGACCCTAGTAGTTGCTTTGTTTGCTCGTTGGTTGCGACCAGTATACATCACTTTTTTTTTTTTTTTTTTTTTTTTTTTTTTTTTTTTTTGCAAATCAGGCTCTTGCTCCAGTGCGAACCCCATGCAAACTGGTGTACTGTGCTGACTGCCAAGAGCTGGGTTTTCTTCTTTGAGTAGGAAAGCCGCGTGATCCAGTCTGAAATGGGAACGTTTAAGTAGCCCATTGTGCCTCATTGAGTGTCTTTTAGAGGAATAAAAAAATTGACGTGGATTTATCACGAATGCATGCGGGCCGTCCCTTATAAGTTACCCATCAGGCACCTGACCTATCATGTACACTTGAGAGGCATTGAGCGGCAATGCCCACACTTCAGCATGGCAACTGACACTCAGAATGAGGTAAGTGGGTAATGGTGAGCATGTCTTGGCTGGTGCCTATCAACTTAAGGGCTTGCCAATTGGCAGCAGGAGAATATCAGCCGGGCCAGAGCACCATTAGCAGCTTGACGGGTTCAGCAACTTAGTGGACTATACACAGATGGAAGACCATATCTGATCATAAGATTTATTTGAAATTTCGGCGTAGGACAACGGCAATAGTTCGTTGGTGATTCTGTGGGTGTTGATCGTCCGGGAAAGGCTCAAGAAAAATGACCAAACTGCTCTTGGATTGTCAACCCCCACACTCGATTAGCAAATGCTTTATCTCAGAGGGCCTGCGAGAAGGGGGACGAATGAAAGCTCTTCTACTATGTTGGCGGATATGACTGGTCGGGATTCTGCGCCGGCTATCCGTAATCCAACCCTACATTGTATAGCAACCGTGATCGTCTAGTCACTGATCACAATAAGATTTAGACGTAGTGGAACCTGAGGGAAACACTCAACAAACGTTGATGAAAATAGCGTTGAATTAAGCTCTTAGTAGGCATTCGAGGCAGGACGTTCTACAAGATTCACCTCACGAGTCATAAAGGTGGCGATTGATCAATGAGAGGGAAGATGCTCGAGGCGTCGATGTCCTAGTTTTGATTCAGTGGTACGAAGACGGTCGGTCTTGTTGATGGTATGAATCATCGCATGGCAAAGTCACGTTGATTGCAGTACTCTTTATTGACAGCTTTCTTCGCGGTCATTGATGCAAATGTGCAACTGTGCAGCGGATCGTACATAGCCACAGTCATAGCCTGGCGTCAGCTCGAAGGCCCGAGCTGTAGGCAATTGCCCAGGAAATAGGGCGTTCGTCCAAGAAATACCCAATTGAGATTACTAGACTTGACTCAGGATTGCCGATACTGTTTACCGGTCAAGTTCGGTACGAATTCAAAGCCACACTCAAGATTGAACTTTCATGTAGAAGCCACCAACTTGCTGGAGGCTTCGATCCATGTTCTTCCCCTCAGCCCTTCTACAGTGGGCCGCTCCCGGTGGGATATAAGGTAGTAGCGGGGCATTACGATTATTTTAGGTCATGTTCAAAAAGTCACCTGTCATGTACCGGGCATCACAACCCACTCACTATGTACAGGTAAATTAGGTAGGGAGAATGCTACCTGATCGCTGATCAAATTCACGTAAATTGCAGGCGCCAAACCAAGGACTAGCGCCTCTACTCTGTAGGTTTCACACATGACTATGATACACTCCCCTTGTATCTTCCGGTTTTCTACCGGCAGATGGATATAACGAAATTGCTTGAGACCCTTGATATATCACGTGAATCTTTACTTCCATGAGATGTCCCAAGCATTCAATCTTGGTCAATCCATTAGGTAGCCGAAGTAGAAAGAATCAGAAAAATTGAACTGAGGAACAGAATCTTGAAGGCTTCACTCGAGCCGGGTCGGTGCTGCCGAGGAGACACCAAAAATATGTCGGCGGTGCCGGATTGCCGGCCCACCTTGGCGCCGCGTCAATGTGCCGTTCGGGCCGGCCCCACCGAGGCACCAGCCACGCGTCGACCGCGAGCCAAGTTGGACGATGAAGTCACCGTGGAGCTAGGCGTAGCACCAGACGGCACTTCTACCGTTCACTGGCTTGGGATCTGATTTACTGAGTGCAACTTTGGGGCTACGGGGACGGTGAGAACCTTGCTCCTTGAGCTACCAAACAACGACTTTTCTTGGAATGCGCCACACCGAGCTCCCCTGCTGACGTGTTTTGACCACCATAGCGCTCTCAGCCATGTTCATGACGTGACACTATTCGACATGGCCAGGAAGGGACAAGCCAAGTATGTCGTGTGCCCAGAAGTCGTAACGGGTAGGATTGATATAAGGCTGCCTACCATCGTGATGGAACACTAAGTACAGTGCACTCAGCTCACAATACTTCTCTATCTACACAGACTCTCCGTTTGTCAGCCAATTCGCCCACATCATCCACCAGCAGAGATTCAGACGACTCAGTAATTTTACTATCAATACCGCACCCGTCTACCTAAGCAATGGTTGGTCTCCCCTTGAAGTCCACTTCTTGATGGCAATATATTGACTAAGGAACCAGGCTGGACGCGGAAGACGCCTTGCCACTGGCGCCATCATCGGCATTGCTATTGCCGGCTTTATCTTTATTGCTTTCTGGGTCCTATGCTGCTACTGCTGCTGCTTCCGAAACAAACGTAAGCAGCGCGGTCGTCAACCGCATCCAGTCGGCGGCGGAGGTGGAGGCATGTTCTCTCGCTTCGGTCGCCAGCGCCGCGGCGGTCCGGCAATGATGGAGTCCGGCTACGGACACGGGCCAGGTTACGGGCATGGTCATCAAGGTCACCACGGCGTGGCGAGACCAGCACCAACACACGGTTACAGATAAAGGGCAGACGACCGCGGGTGGACGTCAAACAATACGGAGTACCATCACTTAGAAGGAGAATGGGAAGGTCGGTTGTTGGCTACGAGGTGGGCATGGCGTTAGGAACCATGATTGTGTACAAGTATACCCAATGTGCGAAGGATCGACTCATTTTGGTTTTTGATAAAGCGTCAAACTGGATCTACAGTCAGACCAGTGCGCTAAATGTTACATTAAGTACTATGTGTGCCTGGGTATTATGGGAGTGTTTGTGTGTCTGTGTGAGTGAGGCCTATTGACGAATCAAATGTGCTCGCTTCCATGCTCCTCGCGTTTCTGCTCAACCGCCTCAACCCTGCGCTCGAGGTCGTGGGACTCAACAGTCGACATGTCCAAGGTCGGGATGAAGAGAGGAGCCTCAGTGAAGAGATATCTCATCTCTTCCAGAGGACGCTTAGCGGTCTCGGGGAGGAATGCCCAGAAGAAGAGGGCGTTAGTAAAGTTGCAAACCTATGAGAATGCGTGTTAGACACTTGCATGTGTTGAACTTTGCGCCAGCCTTTGTGGTAACTTACAATGAACAGAATATACCAGCGCCAGCCAATGCCGTGCTTGTCATCGAGAGCCACAGAGGTGGTCTGACCGATGAGAGTGTTGAAGGCGTACGAAGTCATGGTAGCGATGGAGACACCCTTGGAACGAGTCTTCATGTCAAAGATCTCGGCAGGGATAATCCACGATAGAGGACCGCAGGTGGCGCTGAAGCTGAAGTTGTAGAGCCATGTCATGGCAATGAAGCCCCAGGCGGTGGCTCCGCTAGCATGAGGAGAGCCGGGAGGGAACTTGGCCAGAAGGATGGTGGCAATGATGAAGGTAACGCAGTTGCCAAGGTTACCGAAGATCAAGGGCCAGCGGCGACCAGTCTTGTCGATGAGCATCATACAGAGGAACTGAGCGACGAGGGCAATGACGGAGGAGATGGCCTGGTAGCGAAGGGTCTCGTCACCGGCGATGCCGATCTTCTCGTAGATTGCGACGGAGTAGTACTGGATGGCACTGACGCCGGTCATCTGAATGGAAGCCTGGAGAGCGCAAGCGAGGAAGAGACGACGGAAGCAAGACTTGTCGGTGAAGAGCTCCTTGTAAGACTTTGCGGAGCCCTCGTGCTCAGCGGCGATGGAATCTTGGATTTGGTCGAACTCGGCGCGGACCCAGGCGTCGTTGATGTCGCCGTGAGCGTGGAGCTTGGCCAAAGTGGCAAGACCCTCGTCAAGGCGGCCATGGTCGATGAGCCAACGAGGAGATTCGGGGAAGAGGAGAATAAGCAAAGCCAGAATGCCACCAGGAATACACTGGATACCCAAACTGACGCGCCATTGGTTGTTGTCGTTCTCGGCAAACCCAATGTATGTTCCGTATGAGATCCAAGCAGCAGCCAAAGCACCGACACCGAGCATGAATTGTTGCAGAGCAGTGACTCGTCCACGAATGCTAGGGTGGCAGAGTTCGGCCTGGTACATGGGAATGATCATCGTCAACATACCGACACTGGATGGAATGCAGTCAGCACATGTATCGTCCCGTCAGATTGGCATTTTTGGGTTGAGGGATTGACGTACCCGATACCAGCGAGCGCACGACCGGCGTAGAGGAAAGCGAGAGACTGGGCAGCGGCCTGGAGAGCACCACCGAGAACGAAGATGGAAGCACCGATAAGAATGGTTTTCTTACGGCCTAGTCTGTCACCGGTGGGACCGGCGACACCAGCGCCGATGAAGCCACCTCCAGTGAAGACGGAGACGACAGCGCCACTGAGAGGGAGAAAGAGTCAGTCGTGATGCCCCTGGATTCGTGCAGGTTGATGGTTGACCACAGATTCCAGTCCGTAGCAACTCTACGCTAGGCGGTGACTTACATCTCATTAGGGTCTTCGCCAAACTTGGTCTTGAAGGAAGCCGAGGCAATGGCAGAGGCAATGACACCCAAATCATAACCGTAGTTGAAGGAACCGAGTGAGGCGAAGACGCTCACAAGAAACTGGTACCACTTGGGAGGGAGCGCCATGATGGGCTTGGTTTTGGGGGGTTTTGTTGGTGAAGGACTCTCCAGCAAGGTGTTGGGTAGGTAGTCGTCGCGGGCTCGTCAGGAAGTAGGCAACGTCCAAGCCTGGGCTGTAGAATCTAATGATTCGAGGGTTCAGGGTCAAACCGACTCGTCGAGCTGCAATGGAACGGTCTCGCATGTTGCATCAGCACGAAGGGATCGTCGCGTCTTTATAGAATGTTTGAGCGACCCCATGTTTCCCCGTATCCACTTTGGCCCGAAGGTCGCATCGGATGGGAGCGTGGGAGCATCGAAGAGATTAAGCCCGTCTGCCTCTCTGAGTCTCTCCCTCACGCTCTCCCAGAAGCGTGGGCGAGTTTGGATACAACAGGCTAGCGCAGGCGAAACATCAAGCAATGCTGCCGTGGTGCGTTCGGTTGGTGGTAAAGTTACCGGGGGATATGCGAGAGTGGAGAGGCATTCGAATCCCTGGCTTGCCTTTTCCGGGGCCACTCAGCCCGTTGAAAGACGGCATCGGTGATGGTTGCCCCGGCCCCAGACTAACCCCCTTGCCCCAGGTTACGCTGGGATGCGGAGATATCGCGCTAGTTTGTCAGGTGTTGGTGAATTCTGGAGGTGTTTGTTTGGTGTATGCATGTGCGTGTGTGTGTGCCAGGTACTGCGCTTGTCAAAGACGAGGTACTGGTAGGCAGGCAGTGAGGCAGAGGTAACAAAGTTGAGGTCGACTTGGAGAGGCGCCCGTTAAGGTTCACGGTCAGGACCTTCTCCAATCTCCATAATTTTGAGCAACGTGGGCACGCGGGGAAAGTTGCTAGGGTTGGGAGTCTCAAGGCGGAGTTTGCGGGTATGTTGTGTATGTACTGTGTCTGCGTGGTAGACTGTGGGCGTTCGGCTCATCAATACCGACGAGCGACACGGCAATGAATGGAGACGTCGAGGGCGTATGTGCTGCGCCATTCCATGATGATCAGGTTGTTGGCTGAAGTATTTTGGCGATCCGAGCTGCTGGAACTGGCGGCGAAGGAGGAAGACCCATGTTGACAAGAATCAGTCACATGGCAACTCGGGCAGTATTGTCTGAAAGTTGGATACCTAGCCTTGTCGAGAGCGCAGGTGTGGCCTCTGAACTTTCACTTCCTTCAACCACATGGAAAAGAACGATTCATGAAACTCGTTTGGCGGGAAGTGACTGGACGCTCTCGAACATACACTAGGCACATTGGCGTGTCATTGTCCACCGAAGCTAGGCAACGCGCTTCATAAGAAGATGTCAATTGCGCTTCATCTCCGCCCTAGTATGACTTTTGTAATCCTCTATCCGTAGTTTCTACTCTATTTCTCTAGCATGGGTATCCATTCCATCTTGGTCTTTGTCTCTGATTCCGCGATGGCCCGTCTGCTCCAATATTGTTAGCCGGGCAACTTTTCTCCATCAAGTACCCCCGTACCCCCGTACCTTGCGATATTGCTCAGGTACCTCAGGTAGGTACGTACTCTCGGATGCAAACAAAGCAAAACGATACGTTCCCAGAAAAGACCACTTTGATTGGATCATCAGACACCAACACTCCGCTTATTACAGCCAATGTCGTCACTGGCAAAACTGGCACAAGATTGGAGGAGAATCAAGCTTTAACTTTTGGCCTATGCGCTCCAATGAGAAACGATGCTGAAGAAGAGAAACCCCATATTAACAGTTTATGGTTCCACTATTTCTTTTTCCTCTCCTCACCTTACTCATGGGTACGTACCTCGACCACTTCGCCTCGGGACTTGGCCTCTCAAAAAGCAAAAGAAATGGCTGGAAAATGTTCCGCATTGTCTCGGTCCTCTCCGCAAACTCACTCGGGTCACTCCAGCCGCCAGGTTCATAGACACTCCTTCTTCTGGGTCTTCTCTTTGTTGTTTGTGCTTCGTTCTTGCTCGGGCCCGTCTCGACCGTTTTCGCGCTTCGCACCTAGGTAGTTCGGCCTGCTTTTCCGTTCTTCGGCAGCCGGCCCAACCAGCACTCATTTACTCCTCGTTGCTCTCCGGCTTCGCTTCAGCCTTCGTATATTCTTCAACCGCTTGTCCTTGCAAATGTACGGACATCGGTGACAACTAGGCGATAATCTTCGCATCTGATATTCTTGGCAGCCTACAGTACGCGCCTCCATCGCGATGTTCCAAGTCCATACCCATTGTCCATCACCCTGGCTGTTACCTGCGTGCCAAGTTGTTAGTCAGGCCTGAAATGGGTTCTGGCCTGACTGTGACAACCAATGTCGAAGCAAAAGTAAGGATCGCGGCAACCCACCTGAAATGCTCTCCATCTTCACACCTCGGCTACTATCCGTACTGATCCATAGTCTGGATATGGCTAGGCAAAAGTCCATGCCAAAAGAGACAATGGAGACATTTGCTTGGAAGCCCTTCCCTTCGATGCGTGCCCATACGTGGTACATGTAGATATCGTATGCTTCCCCAAGAGCCAACCATACAATACGGAGTACACATGATGCCAGCATGGGCAACATGCAGCCCCAAGCAACAAAAGGGCCGGCTCATGATTCCCCATCCATCAATATCTCCAACTATTTCCCCATTATCCCCAAGAGACCCTGTTCCAACCCCACCATCCCATCCTAAGCTAGCATCCCCTCCCATCCTCATCCCCCATCCCTCAGCAGACCATCCCACACAGTCATGCCGCATGCCCAATCCTGTACCAGTCGGAGCCGACTACCCCACTCCGATGCCCCGGCACCCGCATTATCGTCGACTTTCTCCGCATGGTATCCTCTATGATTCGCGCGCCTGTTGCACCACCTGCCTTTCACTTGTCGCTGTTGGAGTCGAGATTTGAGAGCCGCACTTTCTCTCCGCTCCAATATGTCTAGTAACTGGTCAATATCGAGTGTGCCGTTGGTGTCGGTAACCAAGGCGAATCGGGGGCACCCACCCCTTCTCACATAGCC